CCATGCAAAATTTGTCCTTTTGCGACTGAGATATTTCACTCATCGTAATGTCCTCCAGGCTTACCCATTTTGAATAATATTGCATGAGTTCCTTGTTTTTCAATGCAATGTAGTATTCCATTCTAACCTTAAATTTTACCACATACATTTTTTTGGCCTATAGATTTTATTTATTGAATAAATGTTGTTGTTGTTGTTGCTGATGGGATGTATCATCACATTGAGTATGACCTTATGAAAAACAAATCTGAATCCTGTCCTATCTTGTGCCGAACTCATCATCTCTGATACATGTGAGCCTACAGCTATAATCCATCTCGTTGAGGGTCTTCTCTTTTGCTCACCCTCTACCTTTCCAACTATGATGTTCTTCTCCAAGGACTGCTCCCTCCTAACTACATGCCAAAAGTATGTGAGACAGTTTCAAAATCCTTGCCTCCAAGGAAAAATTTGGTTTCACCCTCTCTTAGACAGACCTATTTGTTCTTCTGGCAGCCCACTTTATGTTCAACACTCTTCGCCAGCACCAAAACTCCAAAGCATCAATTCTTCTCTTGTCATCCTTAGTCACTGTCCAGCTCTCTGATGCATCACAACTTAACTGCAAGGCCCATGGCCTGGGATCAGGCACACCTTAGTCCCTACCTGGACTGACATCATTGTTCTTCAGTATTCTAGCAAGATCGCTGACAGCAGATTTTCCAGATGCAATCTGTCTTTTGATTTCCTGACTACTGGTGTCAAGAGTATTGATTGTGGATGGAACCAAGCAAGCTGAAATTGTTAACAACTTCAATCTCTTCTCCATCATGATGCTTTCAACAGGTCTAGTAGTGAGAATCTTTGTTTTGTTGATGTTGAGCTTCAGCCCATATTGAAGACTGCAGTCCTTGACCTTCTGCAAGCAAATGAGTCAGGTCCTCCTCAGTTTCAGCAAGCAAGGCTGCGTCATCTGCATAATGCAGGTTGTTGATGAGTCCTCCTCAAAAAAGAGAAGATTTCCCTGGAGAAAGCTTGTTAAAAGTAGAATCTGGTAGGGGACGCTAAGGCTTTGTCAAGGGGAAACATTAAGGCTTACACAGTATTCTGAGAAGATCTGAACTTGAGTGGATTTTAAGACCCAACTTGGGTTTTTGATTGAAGAGAGTCACATGTGAAAGAAAGGCAAGCAGGAGGAAAGAAAGGGGGAGGGAGAGACTGACTGTTTAAAACTAGAACAAGCTGCTTGGCTTCTAAGACAGGATAAGGTTGGTGCCCATTAGACCATTCCTTCAAGGACCTGAAGTTAAAGAGGGCAGACTTGTAGTGATCATCTGGATCCACTGAAGTGGAATTAGGAGGCATGTAGCAATGAAGAACCAGGCTGAACTTGGATGTGGTCCTTCAGCACTGTCCACCCTGCATACACAGAGGTATGGATAAATAAAAAAGGGTTGCTGACTTGAAGAACAAAGAGTCAGGAGGACCCCTGACTTGTTTACTTGGCCCTATGTGGGGCCAAAGCTGAGTTAAGGGACAAGCTGGACTGGAATGCAGGAAGTATGGACTCTGATGCACATTTGGATTTAGCCAAGGATGGCTGAGGATGAGTTGACAAGAACCAACCAGATGAAGAGAAAATGATCCATGCTATGAGCTAATGTTGACTGCTTCAACCTGACGCCTCTCGACTGGAGTGCTTTTGGATACAGATGTTCAAAGTTTCCAAAGTGAACAAAAGATTCTTCAGCAAAACGGATATACTTGTTCTCTCAGAGTACTGGTTTGACAAGGGATGCACTAATCAGAAATTGGCTATCTGAACTGAGGATATTAAGGTATAAGGCATGAAACTGCTGGCTCATATGCTTTCACAAATGTCATTATTAGCAAGAAGATTATAAGGCAAAAGTTAATTCTTCAAATACAAATAATAATGACTATAAAGAATGGAATCCCAAAATCTCTGTAGATGTTCATTGAAATGAAAAATAAACAACCTAAATTTAAAAAAAAAAATAGGGGAGTGTGTGGTGTCAAGTGTTCATTGTTCAAATGACTCTGTCACAAGGATGGGTAGGGACATGTGACTAAGATCTTCAAATAGGACTTTACGGTTTGCACCCTGAAAAAACGTAGCAATTCGAGCCTCCAGAGAGTCATTATTCAGTAGTTGTCTCCACCCTCTTCTCTATTTTTGAATGGTAGCTGTCCCAGGCCATAACCCCCAGTAGACTGTAGCCTTTTTTGACACCTAGGGCAGAACCCTGCACAAGCCTATAGTTTAAACTGAGCCCAGCTCCATTTCCCCATCACAAACAGGGTATGTAATAGATTTTCTGGGTGCTTCTTTCTACTGAGTTTGGGATCTTAAACTCCATTTACCTGCTCACTATATGTTCCTATTTCTGACTCAAAGAGATGGGAGCCTTTTTAAAATCTTATTTTTTTAAACATTCTTCGTCCATTTTTCCTCCCACTAATTTTTTTTTCTCCGTTTTATTTTTGTTGTGCATTGGTTTGTATCCTATGTACCCTTTTTATTTTTAAAAAATTTATCATCGATATCTGTGTAGGTAAAAGAGCTTTTTCATAAACTTGGTAAAGCGTGAAAGCTTGACCAGAAGTCTATGTTTTCCTTAAAAGACATTTTATATACATAGTACCAGCTAAAGGAATCTTGGTGGTAAAGTGGTCAAAATATAAGCTACTAGCCAAAGGGTCTACAGTTCAAAATCACAAGCAGCTCTGAAAAAGAAAAATGTAACAGCCTCTTGTATAAAAATCACAGCCTCGGAGATCCTATGGGGCAGCTCTGCTCTGTCCTATTGTTGTTGTTGTTGTTGTTGTTGACTGCCTTCAAGTCAAGCACTGCTCATAGCAACACAATGAACAAAAGGTCCGAAGCCCCTATACAACTATAGACATTTATCACAGCAGCACACCACACTATAATACATACTAGTATCTATCATGATAATAACAACAAAAGTAAACCATATGAAAAATTCAGAGAAAATAACTATGAATTAAAACGCTAACCATAATTAAATTCTTAAAAAAAAATGGGTTTTTTTAAGACACAGTAAGCTTGTTTTTACAGTAATTTGGAAAATGTTATAAGTCTACATAGCTTAATCTTACAACTTTATATGGAACTGCATCATAACCATGAAAGAAAATGGTAAAAAACATAACTATAAGGTGTGTAGCAGCAGGATTAAGAGTATAAACTATAATGACTGACAATCTGAGTTCAAATTCTGGCTATGTCATTTACTAGAACGTTTAATTACCTTTCTAAGTCTCAGTTTCCTTATCTGTAAATGAGGCTATTAAAAATGTCTACGTCGTGCTCGCTTCGGCAGCACATATACTAAAATTGGAACGATACAGAGAAGGTTAGCATGGCCCCTGCACAAGGATGACACACAAATTCGTGAAGCGTTCCATATTTTTTGTTAATACTTCTAGCCTTAAGCTTAAAAGATTACAACGTTCAAAATTATTTGTTATATATTTGCTTAAATTTTTCCCTCTTTTAACAACTGAGATCTAGAGGGAAGAAAAAAGACCAGAGAATGGCCGAGATTATTGGGGCAGCTATTGCCGCCAGTTTAGGGCCTGTGTCAGGAAAAGGAAGTCTTACTCATATACAATGCCACCCAAAGGTAATAAAGGAGGTCAGAATTGCTTCCACTGTGG